CCGCGGCACGATCCACCTGCCCCGGCGCGAGCCGTTCGGCGCACGCGTCGAAGACGGATTCGAGCGTGATCGCCGCCATGGCGCGCGACGCGCTCGCCTCGTCCTTGTGCCGGTTGCCGTTCTCCGGCGCGATCGCCTGGATGACGTCCGCCTCGCGCCGGTACGGGCCGACGAGCGAGACGTCCGTCAGCCCGAACAGCCCGACGGTGGGGCGGTCGAAGCCGACCGCCATGTGCAGCGCGGCCGAGTCGTTCGCGACGACCAGCGCCGCTCGCTCGATGACGGCCATGAGCTTGCCCACGTCCGTCGCGCCGACGAGGTCGAGCACGCGGTCGTCTCCCGAGAATCGTTCCGTCAGCGCGGCGCACTGCTCGCGCTCGGAGTCCGCCCCGACGATCGCGACCCGGGAGGCGAGCCCGTCCGTGAGCAGGCGGTCAGTCAGATCGACGAAGCGATCGATCGGCCAGCGCTTGCCCGCCCAGCGGCTTGTCGGGGCGATCACGGTGACCGGCTCGCCGCCGAGCCGGGCGAGCGCCCAGGAGGCGTCGGCCTCCGAGGTGTAGAGCCGCATATCGCGGACGGCCTCGATCCCCATCGCCTCGACGAGCGCGAGCATCCGGTCCACGGTGTGCATCGACTTTGGCGCATCGACCCGGCGATTGAGCCCGAGCCGCCCGAGTTCCGCGGCGTTGGCGAACCCCACGCGGCCCTTCGCCCCGCTCACGAGGGCGAACAGGCCGCTCCGGGCGAGGCCCTGGCAGTCGAGGACGAGGTCGTACCTGGGCTCGCGGAGCTCGCGGAGAAAGGCGAGGAGCCGGGCCGAGGCGGATGGACGCCAGAGGCGGCCGATCGCCACCTGTTTTCGCGGGAAGGGGACAACTTTTGAAAGATCCGGGTGGTGCGCCACGGCCCCCTCGAACCCGGTCTGGACGAGCCAGTCGATGCGGGCGTCGGGCCACGCCCGGCGGAGGCTCGCGAGCACGGGGACGCTCCGGCAGACATCGCCCAGGGCGCTGGGTCGGATGATCAGGACGCGTTCCGGGCTGGATTGGGGTGAAATCGGAGGGGCCGTCTTCACAGTAAGCCAATAGTAGCCCATCGCGTCGGTGGCGTATCATGATGGTGCGCACACAGCGCTCAGCACACACTCGTTTGGAGGTCTCCCATGTCATCCCTGAGAACCCGCCTCGCGAGCGGCTTTGTCGCCGCCGCGGTGATCGTCACCCCGTTTGCCGCCGCCCCCGCCTTGGCGCAGGACGCCAAGACCATGGTCGTGCTCGAGTCCGCCGGCCTCGGCGAGCTCCTGCCGTCCGAGAAGGACAGGGCCCTGCGCGACGCGATCGCCATGATCCCCGCCAAGTTCGGCGAGTTCCGAGCCACCATGCCGGAGCTCCAGCAGATCCCCGAGTTCATGACGGACTCGGCCTTCACCGCGATCTCATCCCCGTGGCGTCTCGCCATCACGGACAAGGGGTTCGACCAGAACTCCGGCAGCCCGGGCGTCGGGCTCGTGATGAGCTTCAAGATGCCGGCCGAGAACGGCAAGGCCCACGCCGATTCGATGCACCAGACCGTCAGCGCGATGATGCAGATGTCCGGCATGCCCATGCCCATCGAGCAGTCCTCGAAGTACGCGTCCATGTCGAGCTTCACCGTGCCGTTCATGTTCCCGCTCCCGGTGAACTTCGGCCCGCGTGAGGCGGGCGACGGCTGGCGCTACGAGTTCCACGTGGGCGCGGTCGTCGATCCGGACGGCGCATTCGACGATCTCCCCGGCGCTGGCGGCGGGAACGCCGTGATGCGCGGCAAAGTCGACCTCGCGACCTTCACGCCCTACGTGAACATGGCCGCCGGCATGGCCGCCATGGCCGGCCCGGAGGTCGTCGCGATGTTCGATTCGATGCGCGACTCCGGGTTCATCGGCGAGGACGCGATCACCATCGATTTCGTCTCCGGCTACCAGGGCAACAAGAGCGTCGGCACGTTTACGATGCGCGGGCTGGGCCTCGATCGCGGCGTGCTCATGGGGCTCACGGACCACACGATCTCCAAGAAGGACCTCGCCGCGGTTCCCGCGGACGCCACCTTCGCCGAGATCCAGAAGGTCGACTTCCAGACCCAGTGGCACAACTTCAAGTCGCAGATGGAGCAGTTCGTCGGGCCCGAGATGCTCAACGAGGGCCTCGCCCAGTTCCAGCAGATGACCGGCTTCAACTTTGAGACGCAGGTCCTGCCCTCCTTCGGCGACACCACCGTCTTCTACCTGAGCGATTCCACGGGCGGCTCCTCGTGGCTCTCCACGGTCATGGCCGTGTCCCTCAAGGACTCGGAGACCTTCTCGAGCTTCTGGAACAGCACCACTAACATCGCCAACACGATGATCGCGCAGCAGACCGCGGGCCAGCCCTTCGGTGCGCACATCCGCCACTTTGAAGTCAACGGCACGCCCTTCTCGCAGATCCAGTTCCCCGGCCTGCCCATCCCCCTCGAGCCCACGTTCTCCGTCGCCGGCGACTGGCTCGTCATCGGCATCTGCCCGCAGGCGTGCCACGCGGCGGTCGACCAGATCACGAACGGTCGGCGCGACATCTCCGCCAACGACGCCTTCGCCAAGGCGACCCGCGGGATGCCCGGTTCCACCTACATGATGTTCATCGACGCCGAGCGGACGATGCGGGACGGCTACCCCTACATCACCATGCTCGGCTCGGCGGTCGCGAACTTCGTCCGCGAGAACTCCCTCGAGGGCACCCGCGGGGGCCCGGGCCTCGTCGTCCCGACGTACGCCCAGCTCGCCGAGGGCGTCTCCGCCTCCGTCATGCACAGCTACTGGGACGGGGACGACTACGTCACCACTTCGGTCTCCGACAGCTCCATGCTCGTGAACATCGCGTCGGTGCTCGGCATCGGCGATATCGGCGACATCGTCTCGTCCATGCTCGTCGGCGGCGGCATCGGCGCCGCGATCGCCGAGCAGTCCCACCAGGCCAACCAGTGGCAGAACTGGGAAGAAGAAAACTGGGACGACGAATGGGAAGAGCAGGAGCACGAGCACGAAGGCGAGAAGCACCACTAACCACCGGAGGTCTCCATGACCCCCGTTCGGCGAGCGCTCCTCGCCATCACGCTGATCACCATCACCCTCCGGTCGATCGCCTCGGCCGGAGGGTTTTCGCATCCGGTCCACCCCGACGCGATCTCGTGGTGGCGGTTCGACCCCTCGCGGTTCGCCTCGACGGACAAGGCCCCGGCCGAGCGGCGCGTCTTCCTCGCGACGATCCGGGCCGCGATCGCCTCGGGCCTGCTCGGCGACGGAACGTCCGCGAAGATCATCGAGGGCGTGCTCGCCGCCTCGGACGTCGGCGCCGTGCCGCACACGCTCTCGCTCTTCGATTTCGAAGCCGGGCGACCGCCCTCGGGCGTCGGCATCGATATCTCCGAGCTGCGGATGGTCCTCGAGCTCCACACCGGGGAGAACCACGACCACTACATGCGCACCGTGCGCGCGATCGTCGTCGACGCGGAGCGCGCCAAGTCCGGCGAGCAGTCCAGGTCCGTCGAGCGACAGCGCGTGATCGATCTGCCCGACGGCACGCAGGCCGTCGCCTTCTCACTCGAGGGCTGGCCCGCGTGGCGCGAGATCTCCTGGACCTCCCGCGGCGATTCATTCGTGATCGCGCTGGGTCGCGGGGCGTTGGAACGACGCTTCGCCGACGCCCCGCCCAACGCCGACCCCGCCTGGACGGCGCACGAGGCGATCGTCGACGCCGCTCGACCGGAGGGCGACGTCTTCTTTACCGCCTACCTCGACATCGATCACCTCCGCGAATCGTTCCCCGAGGCGTTCGAGCGTGGGCGCACGCCTCGGATGACCGAAGCGTTGGGACTCAAAGACGCCTCCCGCCTGATGCTCCACGGGCGATTCGTCGACTCGCCCGGCGACCGGCCCCCGATGCTCGCGATCGACTCGACCACGACGGACCGCATCACCGGGACCCTGACGCGCCACGAGGCGACGCTCGACGCGTGGCCCGAGGGTGAGATCCTCGTCCCGCCGCTCGCCGGCTCGTACCTCATCGCGTCGAAGCTCGACTGGCACGAATTCGCGCGCACTCTGCTCAACATCAACCGCGCCACGACCATGGACCACGACCTGTGGCGGTACCAGCGCAAGGAGCGGGAGTGGCGCGCGGAGCACGGCGAGAAGTTCGACGCGACCCTCGATCGGCTCGCCCCGTGGCTCGTGATCTCGGACGACCCGACACCCCTCGTCCCCATCCCGGGCCTCAGCACGCTCGTGATCCCGCTCAAAGGCGACACGGAGACCGAATCGTTCGAGCGCGACATGGCCGCGCTGCTCGAACCTTGGGCCGACGTCGTCACGCCCTCCGCCGGTGGGTTCTGGACGCTCTCGATCCACGAATCCGGCCTCGTGCGCTTCCCGACCTGGTCGGTCACGACCGCGAACGGACGCGGCGCCATCGCCGCGGGGTGGGGGCCGCAGGTCGTCCGACGGGTCACCGAGGTGCTCGGGGGCGCCGATCCCCGATAACTTCGCGTTCCCGTTCGCTCCGGAAGCGCGCCGCCCGCACAGACGGACCCCCGAACGTGAAACTCCTCGACTCACGCTCATGTGGTGGCACAGTTGGGGTATGACAACGAAAGATCAGATCCGTGCCCGGCGCGCGACGCGCGCCGCCCTGGCCGCCGGCCTCCTCGCCGCGGCCGTGATGATCCCCGGGGCCGCGTGCCCGGCCGACGCGACGGCCCGCCCCGGCGTCGAAAGCCGTCAGCCGGAGGTGGCGCACACGCCGCTGCTCCCGCGCCAGACGCGTCACATCATCAAATTCCACCGCTGGGGACTCGCCTAAAAACGGCGCGAGAATTCACGTCCGAGAACCGAATCCGGATCCTGCGCACCAGCGAAACCGCCCGTGAACGACCCCACCTCGGGGCTGTTCCGTGGCAACACGGGGCAGCCCCATTCCCGCATATGCGGCTCAGTCCCATCTCATCCAGTCCGGCACGTAGCGCGGCCCGTTCGCCTCGCCGACCGATCCCACTCGGAATCGATCGTGTGTGATCCAGCCCGGCTGCGCCGCTTCCGTCGTTACGCTCCCGTCGGCGTGCGCCGCGTTCGTCGCGTGACCGATGTGGCGGAACGCCGTCGTGGGTGAGGCGTTGACACGCCACTCACCGTCGCCCTCGTAGAGCATCGGCGGATCGAGAAGCGACGTGCCCCGAGGGAGGGAAGAGGCGGGGAGCAGTGTGTCAGCGAAGACGAGAAGTTCGCTCGGGTGCAGGACGTGCGAGAGCCGTTTCCAGCGTTGCCCGCCGATCGTGAAGCTCCACCCCGGCGTGCGGGGCGGGCAGAGGTAGTAGCCGTTGTAGCCGTAGGTCGTGGTGAGCTGTCCCGTCGAGCCCTGCGGGACGTACGAGCCCTCGGGCTGGCTTGGGCACTGGAAGACACTGCCCTCGCGGAGCGAATCGCTCAGGTACGGCGCCAGGAAGCCGTCGGCGTACACGACTTCGCCGCTCACGTTCCCCGCGCCGCCCCACCAGAAGACCGAATCGCCCGTGCCCACGTCCTCGTAGGAGGTGTACGCGAGGGGCATCGCCCAGTCGTCGTAATCGTTGGCGTACACGCGCCACGCGACAGCGAGCTGGCGGAGGTTCGAGGCGCACTGCACCGTTCTCGCCGCGTCCCGCGCCCCGCCCAGCGCCGGGAGCAGCAGCGAGACGAGCACCGCGATCACCGCGACGACCACCAGCAGTTCGATCAGCGTGAACCCACGCCGCCCGCTCACGATCCACCCCCGGTGACATCGTCTGATTCGTTCGACCGCAGCGCCGCACGCAACGCGTCGCGGTCCTGCGCATCGATCACTGAATCTCCGTTCACGTCTCGCTCGCCCTGGCCGGACTCCCACGCGTAGAGGTCGCTGGCGTCCACGCGGCAGTTCCGATCGACGTCTTCCGGCGCATACCCGGCGAACCCGCCGAACGCGTGAAGACCGCTCGCGCCGATGGTGTAGAGCACGCCGTCCGCGATCGCGGGTGTGCTGCCGGCACCCGCGAACGCCTCGACAACAAAGCCGGGGTCTCCCGGTTCCAACTCGAGGTCGATCAGGTACAGGTCCGTGTTCGGCCCGAAGAACCCGCCCGAGAGCGGCGGGGTCCCGGCGTACGCAAACGCGCCGGTGTCCGTTTCGACAGCAACGGGCACGTGTGTCCAGCCGCCGATGCTGAAGAACGTCCCGCCGTCGAGCGTCGCGAGCGCCGTGTCCCAGAGGCGTGATCCGTCGGAAGAAAAGAGCTGGAGGGACGGCAGCGACCCGAATCCCGCGAGGCCGGCCGAGATCAGCACGCGTCCGTCAACGAGCACGATCGGGAGCGAATCTGTTCGGTTCGAGGGCGCCGACCACACGAGCGAGCCGTCCGACGCGTCGAGCTTCACGAGGTTCGCCGAATCCTGGCCGCCGCTGAACGTGTAGCTCGATGCGTAGAGAAAGCCGTTGCGCGTCGAAACGCCGGAGTAAAACCCGGTGTTGATCGTGTTGGTGAACGTCCAGAGCGGCGGTGGGGCGGTCGTTGAGGTCGCGTCGAAGGCGCGCACGCGGCCGGGAGTTCCCAGGTTGAAATCGCCCGCGTCGCTCACGTAGACAACACCGCCGGCGTACGCGGGGGTGTTGCCGGAGGACGCGCCGCCGAGCGGGATGCGCCAGACGATCTCGCCCGGCTCGTACGGGTTGCTCGCGCCGTCGAACGGATCGACGTTGACGCAGTACAGGGACCCGCCGCCCTGGAGGAAGAACCCGTCCGAATCCGTGACGAAGAGCCGGTCCGACGGCCCGAGGTCCGACGTGACGATCGGCGAAGCGTTGACCACGTCCAGGAGCAGGTCGGCCGTCCACATCGCGTCGCCCGTGCGCGCGTCGAACGCGGCGACCGAGTCGCCCGACGCGACGATTACCGTGCGGTTCGCCTCGTCGACGAGCGGGGAAGACCACGAATCGAGCGCCGGGCGCTCGATTACGGCGCTGAATCGGACCGACCCGTCGACCCGGTCGATCGCGTAGAGGCGATCGATCCCGCCGGACTCGCCCAGCGCGTAGACCAGGCCCCCGAGCACCACCGGCCCGCTCTGCCCGATGAAGCCGATCGGGAGGCCGTTTTCGTCGTGCGACGCGACCCAATCGGGCGATCCGAGAGGGGACGCGAATCCCGTGGCGCGAGCGTTATGCGACGCGTCGCGGGCGAGCATCGGCCAGGACTCGAACCCGGCGCGCGCAACGGAAGCGAGGAGCGCCGCCAGAACCGCGATGTACGCACATATGCGCATAAGCCCCGCGGGCGCCCTCCGACGCCCGCAGAGCGAGTGATCGATCTCAGACTCGTCGGCGACGCGACACGCACAGTGCGCCGGCGAACGCCAGCACGGCCGCACCCGGAGCGGGGACCGCGACGTCAACAACGGCGTCGATCTCGGGCGAGAAGCCCGAGCCGACCGGGTTGCTGATCCGAACGAATCGCACCTCGCTCAGCCCGAACGCGCCGATGTCGATGCCCGTCCCGCCGCCCGAACCGTTGTAGCCCGCGACGATCTCCGAGAAGCTCAGGCCGTCGGCGCTGAAGCCCGGGTCGACCGGTCGTGTGAAATCGGTCTCGACCGCGCCGGGCGTGGGCGAGAAGGGATTGAGCAGATCCGAGTACCCGAGCGTCGGGTACGACCCGTCCGCGTCGACACCGGTCGCCGCGACCCAGGTCAGCCCGTCGGCCGAGAGTTCGACGACGCCGCCCTCGCCGAAGAGCGTCGCGGGGGACCCCGTCTGGCCGTTCGGGAAATCGGCGTCGAGGTACGACGCGTTGCCGAAGATGAGCAGGTCGATCCCGAAGGGGTTCGCTGCGTCGTTGGTGACCGGCTCGTCGAACCCGAGGGTGATCGAGCCGCCCGCGCCGAGCGTGACGACCTGGTCGACGTTGAACGCGCCGTTGAAGGGTGTCACCGCACCGGGTGAAGTGAACGGGGCGTTGTCGCCGGTGAAGCGTGCGGGCTCGCCCAACGACGCATTCGGGTTGACGTAGTCCTGGTTCGCCCCGGCGCCCTGGTCGTAGCTCACCACGGTGTCCGCCCACGGGTCGAACCCCGCCAGCGCGACCGTCCCGCCGGCGCAGGTCACCACGCACGCTGCCATCGCATATCGATGCATTTCTCGTCTTCCTTCCGTTGCTGTCCGTTCCGAAATACGCGCGGAACGACTCCCGTGAACAACCTGCCCACGCGATTCGGTGCTGCGGTCCGGAACTGGAGGGCGCGGGAGACACGCCATCAGATCGCGGGCCGCCCGTAAACGCGAGGGCGCCTCAATCGGTCTCAGGCAGGTCTTCCGGCTTCGGGCTCGACGGGGCTCGGCCTTCCCGGGCCCGCCGTTGCGGCGTTCCCAGTGGCGTTGAGTGAGTCCCGCGCTCCCTTCACGGCGGCGCGTCCGCGGTGGCGTTTCACCACACTTCCCTTTTCACCCCGGGCTCTGTGCCCGGGGCACCTCAGACGGAGGGACGCTACCACGTCCGAGAACCCCCCGCAATCCGGAGTCGGACTTGATTAAATTCCGGACTGAATGAATACTTTTCTATCGCTTTTTCACGATCTGGCACCCTCAGGACCGTTTCCATGCCCCGGTACGACTACACCTGCCCCTCGAACGGCCGCACCGTCGAGGTGTCGCACCCGATGTCGCGTCTGGTCAAAACATGGGCGGAAGTGTGCGAGCTCGCCGAGGTCGAACCGGGCGACACGCCCGGCGACGCGCCGGTGGTCAAAGAGTTGAGCACCGGGACACGGATCGAAGGCGATTCGCACAACAACACCGTTTCTCTTCCACAATCCTGCGCGTGCGGCCACGCGCACGGCTGCGGCCGTCACTGATCGGATCCACCACGATGTACGGAAAATCCACAGAAAACGCGATCGCGGCCATGTCTCGTCTCGCCGAGGTCTGGGACGGCGGCAACACCCTGCTTTCCGCGGCGGATATCGCGGAGAATCGCAAGCTGCAGAAGCCGTTCGTCTCAAAGATTCTTTCGAATCTCGCGCAGGCGGGCCTCGTGCAGGGCACACGCGGTCCCGGAGGCGGCTTCCGCCTCTCCAAGCCGCCGCAAGAGATCTCGCTCTACGACGTCTACCTCGTCTTCGAGCGAGAGAACGAGTCGCTCAACTGCCCCTTCGGCGGCGGGATCTGCGGCGTCGGGCAGGAGTGTGTCCTGCACGACAAACTCGTCGACATGCAGGACGCCAAACGCGATTTTCTGACGAAGACCTCCTTCGAAGAGTTCCGCGTGGCGTACCAGGAGCAGGGCCTGCGCCCCGCGACCGAACTCGGCATCTCCGCGCAGCCGCGGAAGAGCCTCCGCGCCCGCGAGACGCATTCTTCGACAGAGTAGCGCCGCCGGCCGGCGGAACGTCCGCATAACGCCCGGGGCCGCCCGAGAATCGGGGGCCCGGCGCACTCTTTTGATGCGACGTGCCCGGCGCGCATCGATACGGACGTGAAAACGTGTCGATAACGCACAGGCACGCATGGCTACCGCTGCGCCCCATCCCGACTCCCTGCTTCGCCGCTACTGGGCGGCGGTCTTTGTTGCGCTGCTCGGCGTGGCGTCGGTGCTCACGGTCTTCACGATGAGTTTCACCAACGCCAAAGCTGAGGCCCGCGCTGATTTCGCTGAGTTGGTTCGCCATCACAGCGCCGCGCTCGAGAACGAGTACGTCGCCACGCACGCCGCGCTCATGTCCGCGTCGGGCTTCTTCTCCGCGAGCGACAACGTGACGGAAGAAGAGTGGCGTGTGTTCGTTCGGACGATCCTGCCCGATCGGATGTTCGAACGGATCGAGCGTTTCTTCTACATCCCGCTCCTCCGGAAATCTGACGTCGACGGCTACGAGCGTCGTGTGCTTGACGAGAGCGGCGAGCCGTTCGATGTGTACCGCCGCCCGGGTCGGCGCCCGGACATCGACTGGGCGGCGCCGGTTCGCTTCGCGTTCCCCGCGGACCCCGCGGACAGCGCCGTCGGCCTCGATCTCACTTCGTCCCGCGAGGCGTGCCGGGCGCTCATCCGCTCGGCGCAGCAGCACGCGATGACCCGGACGAAGCAATTTCGCTTCAGCCTCGATACGAACAACCTCAACGACGTCACGCTCTTCTACCCCGTGTACGGCGGTGCCGACGTGTCGGCGATGTCGCCCGAACAGCGGCTGGAAAGCACGGTGGGGTGGGTCGCGGTCCTGCTGCCGATCGACGACCAGCTGGAGCGATTCGCCTCATCGATCAAAGGCGGCTGCGAGGTCGAGCTGTACAAGGGCACACCCGGAGACGGTCACCGGCTGATCTCCTGCTGGTACGGCCCGGAGGACGCGGGCGCCGCGCCGGTCGGCGAGCCGTGGACGATCACCGTGCCGTTCGCCATCGACGACACGGATTGGCACCTCCGCGTGCAACGCGAGGCCGCGTCGCCCGCTGCGCTGGCCGGTATGGCCCTGCTGCCGAGCGCGGTCGCGGCGGTCGTCTCGGCCCTGATCATCGCGCTTGTCGCCGTGCTGACCGGCACGCGCGACCGCGCCACGTCGATCGCCTCGCGGATCACGAGGGAACTCGAGAGCAAAGAGCGGCTGCTGCAGCACGCGGGCAAGCTCGCGGGGCTCGGCGGGTGGGAGCTCGATCTCCGGACCGAGCGGCTCACGTGGTCGGAGCAGACCCGGCGCATCCACGAGGTCGACGACGGCTACGTGGAAAACGTCGAGAGCGCCATCAAGTTCTACAAGGGGGCCTCGCGGGACACCATCCGATTCGCGGTGAACGCGTGCATCGAGAAGGGGCTGCCGTACGACTTGCAGCTGCCGTTCGTCACCGCCACCGGGAAGAACCTCTGGGTGCGGGCTTTGGGCGAGGCCGAGTACGAGGGGGGGCGGGTCGTGCGGATCCGCGGCGCGTTCCAGGACATCACCGAGCAGGTCGAGATCGAGCAGGAACTCCTCAAGGCGAAGGAGGAGGCCGAATCCGCGAGCCTCGCCAAGAGCCAGTTCCTCGCCAATATGAGCCACGAGATCCGCACGCCGATGACCGCGATCATCGGCTACTCGGACATCCTCTCCCGGTCGGCGCTGAGCGAGCAGGAGCGGCGCTCGCACCTCGCCACCATCCGGCGCAACAGCGAGCACCTGCTCGCGATCATCAACGACATCCTCGACCTGTCCAAGATCGAGGCCGGCCGGCTCGAGGTCGAGCGGGTGCCGATGTCCGTGCTCTCCGTGCTCGAGGAGGTGGCCTCGCTGTACCGACCGCGCGCGCAGGAAAAGGGGCTGGAGTTCAGGCTCAAGCTGGAGTCCCGCCTCCCGGAGCGCGTGCTCTCGGACCCCGTCCGGTTGCGCCAGATCCTGTTCAACCTCGTCTCCAACGCCATCAAGTTCACGAGCGCGGGCTCGGTCGAACTCGCCCTGCGCTTCAGCGAGGACAACCACATCCTCCGTATCGACGTGAAGGACACCGGCATCGGCATGAGCCAGGAGGTCATCGACCGCGTCTTCGACGCGTTCACGCAGGCCGATATCTCGACGACCCGCGAGTACGGCGGGACCGGGCTCGGCCTGAAGATCTCCTCGACCCTCGCGGAGAGGCTGGGCGGCGCGCTTTGCGCCACGTCCGAGCCGGGCGAGGGCAGCACGTTCACCCTCAAGGTTGAGCTCGAGCCCGATCCGAGCTGCAACGGCGTCTTCGATCCGGAGCACGTGGACCTCGACGAGCTCATCCGCGAGGAACCCCCCGAGGAGGCTGAGGAACGCGAGACCGAGCGGATCTCGCTCGCCGGGACGCGGATCCTCGTCGCGGAGGACGGCCCGGACAACCAGCGCCTGGTCCGGCACTTCCTCGAGGAGACGGACGCAATTGTCACCATCGTCGCCAACGGCGAGCTCGCGATGAAGGAGCTCGAACGCGGCGAGGCGTCGAGCAGCCCGTACACGATGATCCTGATGGACATGCAGATGCCCGTGCTCGACGGGTACAGCGCCACGAGGGCGCTCCGAGGGCGCGGGGTCAAGGTCCCCATCGTCGCGCTCACGGCGCACGCGATGGAAAGCGACAAGGCTCAGTGCCTCGATTCGGGGTGCAACGACCACGTGGCCAAACCCATCAACCGCGCCGAGTTGATCCGCGTGTGCGCCTACTGGTGCGCGATCGCCGCGAACGAGCGGCGCGTCGCCTGAGTCACGCCGGCGGCAGGCACGCCCGCGCGACCCGGCCGAAGCGCTCGGCCTCCTCCTCGGCCCACGACCCGTCCCGGCCGAGCGCGGCCGCGAGCCCGCGCGCGACGCGCTCCGCGCACGCCAGGCACGCGCCCGCGTCCTCGATCAGCAGCCGCCGCCGTCGCGCGAGCACGTCCTCGACGGTCCGGGCCATCTCGTGCTCGGCCATCCGGGCGACGTCCGCGTCGCTCAGGTCCACCGACGCGTGCACCCGCTCGCCGGCGGGTCGGTCGAACACGGGCGGCACGTAGGGCTCGAGCGAGTGGCCCGCCGTCTCGCACCTCGAAGGCCCGAGGCCGCCCGCACGCTCGCACGCGTCGGTCGCGTCCTGCGCGATCTGGCGGTACGTCGTCCACTTCCCGCCCGTGACGGTAACGAGGCCCGACCCGGGCGTCACGCGGACGACATGGTTCCGCGCGATCTTCGACGTCGTTGTGGCTGGCCCGGACCGCACGAGCGGCCGGATCCCCGCGAAGACGGACCGGATGTCCGACCGCTCGAGCGGCTCGCGGACATAGCGGTTGAGCGTCCGCAGGATGAACTCGACCTCCGTCGCCATCGCCACCGGCTCGTCCGGCACACGGTCCAGCGCCGTGTCCGTCGTCCCCACGATCACCGAGCGGCCGAAGGGGATGGCGAACAGGATGCGCTCGTCGTCCGTCTTCGGGATCATCATCGCGTGATCACCGGGCAAGTCGGAGCGCCCGAAGACGAGGTGCGCCCCCTGGCTCGGCACGATCATCCCCTCCGCGCCGGGCTCGTCGAGCCGGCGGACGTCGTCCGACCACGGCCCGCACGCGTTGAGGACGGCCCTGGCGCGAACCTCGAACGATTCTCCGGTCTCCTCGTCGCGGACGCTCACGCCGCGGACGCGCCCGTCCTCGTCCTTGAGCAGGCCGGTCACGCCGGCGTAGTTCGCCAGCACGGCCCCGTGCTTCGAGGCCCCCGTCGCGAGCGTGAGGCAGAGCCGGGCGTCGTCGAAACGGGCGTCGAAGTAGAGGTTGCCGCCGGCGAACGCGTCGTCCTTCGCGTAGGGCAGGAGCCGCGAGACGCCGGTCGCGCCGAGGCCGCTCGATCGCGCAAGGGTCTTTGAGCCCGCGAGCAGGTCGTACACGCCCAGTCCGAGGCGGTAGTACGCCTTCGTCCAGACGCTCTCGCACGGGATCACAAAGCCAAGGGCCCCAACGAGCGAGGGGGCGTTGGCGAGGAGCCGCTCGCGCTCGCGGAGCGATTCCTTCACGAGGGAGATGTTCCCCTGCCGGAGGTAGCGGAGGCCCCCGTGGATGAGCTTGGTCGATTTACTCGACGTGCCCGACGCGAAGTCGCGACGTTCGACAAGGGCGACGTCGTACCCGCGCAGGGACGCGTCGAGCGCAACGCCGAGCCCGATCGAGCCGCCGCCGACAACAAGGATGTCGTACGGCTCGGCGCGAGCTTGCATCGCCCGGATGTCCTCGTCGCGGTTCATGCGTCGGCGAGCCTCGCGCGTTCGACGGCGCGCGACCAGGCGCGACGCCGTTCCCGTGCCTCGTCCTCGCTCATGGTCGGTTCGAACGTCTTCTCGATGCTCTGCGTGCGTTCGAGCGCCGCGAAATCCGGCCAGACGCCCGACGCGATCCCGGCCAGGTACGCCGCGCCGAGCGCGGTGGTCTCGACGTTGTGCGGTCGCGACACGGGGACGCGGAGCAGGTCCGCCTGGAACTGGAGCAGCGCGTCGTTCTTCGACGCGCCGCCATCGACGCGCAGCTCCTCGATCGGCGCCCCGGAATCCTCGCGCATCGCGCGGAGGAGGTCCGCGCACTGGAAGGCGATCGACTCCACCGCGGCCCGCGCGATGTGGGCCCTGGTCGACCCGCGCGTCAGCCCGCAGATGAGCCCTCGGGCGTGCTGGTCCCAGTGCGGCGCCCCGAGCCCCGCGAAGGCGGGGACGAGGAAGACCCCGCCCGAATCCGGCACGGAGTTCGCCAGCGCCTCGACCTCCGAGCTCGACCGGATGATCCCGAGCCCGTCGCGGAGCCACTGCACGACGGCGCCCGCGATGAACACCGCGCCCTCCAGCGCGTACGTCGTCTCGCCGCGGTGCGTCCAGCCGACGGTCGAGAGCAGTCGGTTCTTCGAGGGGACGGGCGCGGCGCCCACGTTCGTGAGCATGAACGCGCCGGTGCCGTACGTCGCCTTGGCGAGGTGCTTGTGGACGCAGAGTTGCCCGGCGAGCGCGCCCTGCTGGTCGCCGATGATCGAGGCGAGCCGCACGCCCTTCACGGGCTCGACCGAGGCCTCGCCGAGCTCGCCGGAGGACTCGACCACTTCGGGCAGGAGCGAGCGGGGGATCCCGAAGAGCTCGAGCAGCTCGTCGTCCCAGGCGAGTGTTTCCAGATTGAAGAGCATCGTGCGCGAGGCGTTGGACGTGTCCGTGATGTGCCGCGCCCCGCCCGTGAGCTTCCACGCGAGCCAGCAGTCGATCGTGCCGAAGGCCAGCTCGCCCCGCTCGGCCCGCTCGCGGACGCCGTGGACGTGCTCGAGGATCCACGCGAGCTTCGTGGCGGAGAAGTAGGCGTCGATTTCCAGTCCGGTCTTCGCGCGGATCGCTTCCGCGTGGCCGTCGACGCGGAGGCGGTCGCAGTGCGCCGAGGTGCGGCGGTCCTGCCAGACGATCGCCCGGCCCACCGGTTCGCCTGTTGCGCGGTCCCAGACAAGCGTCGTCTCGCGCTGGTTCGTGATGCCGATGCCCGCGACGTCCCCCGCGCCGATGCCAGCGCTCGCCATCGCGTCGCCGATGGTCGCGAGCTGGGTCCGCCAGATCTCGTTCGCGTCGTGCTCCACGAGCCCGGGCTCGGGGTAGTGCTGGGTGAACTCCCGCTGCGCCGTCGCGACGGGCTCACCCTGGTCGGAGAACACGATGGTCCGCGAAGAGGTCGTGCCCTGATCGATGCCGAGGATGAAAGCCATGGCGAGATGGTAAAGCGGTCACTCGGGCCCGTCACCGCGGGGCAAGCTTCCCGCTGAACCCGCTCGCGGGGGCGTCGCCGCCCAGGGCGCGGGCGATCGTCGTGACGTTGTGGTCGATCATGCCGATGTACGTCCCCTCGTAGGTGCCCGGAGCGCCCATCGCGTCGGAGTAGAGCTCGCCGCCGATGGTCACCTCGTGCCCGCGGGCCCTGGCGCCCTCGATCAGGGCCTTGACGTTGCGGTCGGAGACGGTGGACTCGACGAAGACCGCCTTGATCTCCCGGGTGACGAGCATGTCGACGAGCCGCTCGATGTCGCGCAGGCCCGCCTCCGATTCCGTCGAGATCCCCTGGATGCCCACCACCTCCATGTTGTAGCGCCGGCCCAGGTAACCGAAGGCGTCGTGCGCCGTGACGAGGACGCGCCCCGATTCGGGCACCGTGCCGAGCACGCGTTCCGCATAAGCGTCGATGGCCTCGAGCTCTTCCGCGTACTCCCTCGCGCGCTCGCGGTAAGCCCCGGCATTCTCGGGGTCCTGCTCGCTCAACGCCGATTCGATGGCCGGGACGATCTTCGCCCACGCGGTTGGGTCCATCCAGACGTGCGGATCCGGGTGGCCGGGCGTTTCCTCGTCCTCGAGGAGTGTTGAGTGGTCCAGCGCGTCGCCGAGAGCGATCACGACCCGCTCGGCGTTCGCGGCACGCGTCAGGGCGTCGGTCATCTTCCCTTCGAGGTGCAGGCCGTTGTAGAACACAACGTCGGCGCGCAGGATCGCGGTGATGTCCGTCCGCGTCGGCTTGTAGAGGTGGGGGTCCACGCCCTCGCCCATGAGGCTCGTCACGGTCGCGTGATCCCCGGCGATTTCACTGGCCACGTCCGCGATCATGCCGGTCGTGCAGACGACGCTGACCTGGGCCGAGGCGACGGCCGAGGTTGCGGCGGTGATCAGGATGGCGATGCATTCGAGGACGCGTTTCATCGGTGAAGTCTCCGCGTGTGGGTTGGGGATGATCGAAATGTAGCATATGCTACATTTCGGGTGGACGCAACCCTCCAAAGCGGCTCTTTGGCCCGCCTGTCGCCCCGAAAACAGGTTTTTGCAAAACTTGGGGCCCGGATCGCCGTACTATGAAGTGGCACTGTCGCTCGCATCGGGCGTCAGAATTGCGAAGGAGGCCCGTGATGAGCCCGATCCAGCGAGTCCTGCGCCGAGCTGCCGTCCGGCTCTCGCTCCAACGCCTCCTCGCCACCCTCGTTTTTACGCTCACCATCGCGGGTGTCGCCCTGCTTGCGCTCCGCATCGCCGAGCGAGGCGGGCTGGTCTCGCTTGATTGGCAGGTGGCCGCCATCGTCGGCGCGGGCGTCGCGTTCGTCGCGGCCCTTGCCTGGGTCATCTTCCGCCTGCCCGGACGCGAAGGCACCGCCCGGATCGTCGACGAGGCCGCGGGGTTGAAGGAATCGCTCTCCACGGCCCTCGCGGTCGAGAACCAGACGGACGCCTGGAGCCAGGCCGCCGTCGCGGACGCCGTGCGCAAGGCTCGCGGGCTGTCCGTTGCCCGGACGTTCCCGTGGGCGGCGCCCAGGCGCTGGCCCGCGCCGTTCGTCGCGGTGGCGTTGTTTATGCTCGCCGGACTGCTCCCGAGCTTCGACCTGCTCGGCGAGGCCGAGGCGAAGGAGGAGAACCGCGAGGCCGCCCGGCAGATCGAGGCCGCGAAGGCCGAGGTGCAGGAGATCGAGACCCGTGTGAGTGAGACGCTCAAAGAGCTGGGCGTCGAGGACGAGCTCGACGAGTTCGACGCAACCGCGGACCTGAAGAAACCAGAGAAACCCGAGGACGTCCGCCGGCGAGCGGTGGCGAAGCTGACGAGCGTGCAGGACCGGCTTTCCGAGATGCGCGAGAAGCAGCAGGGCGAGTCGATGGACGCGCTCCGCGACCGCCTCCGGGACCTCAAGCAGGGCGACACCGGTCCGATCGACGAGTTCACCAAGGCGATGCAGAAGGGCGACTTCCAGGGCGCGAAGGACGCCATGCAGAAGCTGAAGGAGAAGCTCCAGGACGGCTCGCTCAGCAAAGAGCAGAAGGACCAGCTCGCCAAGCAGCTCGAGTCGCTCGGCGAGCAGCTCTCGAAACTGGCCCAGGACCGCGAGGATCTCCGGAAGAAGCTCGCGGAGGCCGGGCTCGACCCGAACCTCGCCTCGGCCGACCCCGAGGCGCTCAAGCAGGCGCTGCAGAAAGCGCAGAACCTGACCGAGGCGCAGAAGGAGGCCATCCAGAAGATGGCGAACTCCTGCAATTCGGCGTGCTCGCAGTGCAACGCGATGGCGTCGATGTGCGCGAGCATGGGTAAGTCGGGCGATTCGCTCTCGGCGTCCGAGATGGCGGCGATGGACGCGAAACTCGGCGAGCTCGCCGGGGCGCAGTCCTCGCTCGCGCAGATGGACGCGGCGATGGCCGAGTTCAAGAAGCAGATGGAATCGCTCTGCCAGGGCATGGGCCAGTGCGAGGGCGACAACTACGACCCGTTCGCCCGCCCGCAGCCCGGCTCCAAAGGTCGCGGGGCCGGCACGCCCTACCAGCAGAAGGCCGAGTACACCGCGAAGAACGAGAAGTCGAACCTCCGGAATCAGGACGGCCCGATCATCGGCAGCACGTTCATCCAGGGCGGCCAGATCCGGGGCGAGGCGCAGCAGTCGTTCTCCGACGCCGTGCGCGCGAGCGAGCTCATCGCCAACGAGGCGATCGAAGAGAACGCGATCCCCAAGCAGTACCACGAGGCGATCAAGAACTACTTCGGCCGGCTCGAGAAGGCCTCGGCCACGACCAGCGAACCCGAACCGAACCAGGAGTAAGCCGGCTTGATCGTTGCGAAGCGGGTCGTTTGTACGCGTGAACTGATCGCGGGACTTATCGGGTGTGCGCTGCTCCTCGTGGCGACGGTCGTCGGTTCCTGCGCACCGCCGGGCGAGGATTCCGGCGGGCGGGAAGTCGTGGTCTACTGCTCGGCCGACGATTACATCGCCAAGCCGATCTTCGAGGCGTTCACGCGCGAGACGGGGATCGCCGTGCTCTTCCAGGGCGACACCGAGGCGACGAAGACCGTCGGCCTCGTCGAGAAGCTCCGGGCCGAGCGGGCCCGCCCGCGCGCCGACGTCTTCTGGTCGAGCGACGCGTACCTGCTCGCCTCGATGGCGGGCGAGGGGCACTTCGCGCCGATCGATCCGTCTCTCCTGGCCGACTGGCCCGGCGACGCGCAGGACCCCGAGGGCCGGTACGTCATGTTCGCGGAACGCGCCCGCGTGCTCGCCCGCAGCACCACGCGCGTCGACGAGATCAACGCGCCGACCAACCTCTGGGACCTGACCGACCCGTTCTGGAAGGACCGCGTCGTGATGGCGCGCCCGCAGTTCGGCACCACGCGCGCGCACATGGCGGCGCTCGTCGCGACCTGGGGCGAGGAGACCGCGCGCGAGTGGCTCACCCTGATGAAGGCCAACGGCATCCGCCTCGTCGACGGCAACTCCGTCGTCGTCCGCGAGGTCGGTTCGGGTGCCGCGGACATCGGCCTCACCGACACCGACGACGTCTGGTCCGGTCGGCGCAACGGCTGGCCCGTCGATCTCGTCTACATCGATCACCAGCACCGCGTGCAGGGCTTCCCCGCCGGTGAGGGCGGCGCGATGGTCATCGCCAACGCCGCGGCACCGATCGCGGGCGGCCCGAACCCGGACGCGGCGCAGGCGTTCATCCGCTTCCTCGTGAGCGAGGAGGCCGAACGCCTGCTCGCCGAGAGCGATTCGCGAAACATCCCGGTGCGTCCCGGGCTCTCCGCGGAGTACCCCGAGCTGCACATCGAGAACCCCCTCCGCATCCCGATCGATGACATCACCGCGGCGCTGCCCGTCGCGATGAGGCTGTGCGAGGAGATCCTGTGAGGCCCCGCGGCGAGCACTCGGGTCTTCCCGCGCACTTGATCGCGTGGTTCTCGCCGCTCGCTTGTCTGGCCGTCGCCCTCGCCGTCTCTCTTGGGCTCCTCGCGGGTTCGTCGCTCTCTCCGGACGCGTTCGCGCAGGCGTTCGACGAATCGTTCTTCCGCCTCGCGCTGCGGACGGCGCTCGTCTCGCTCGCCATCGGGGTTTTCGCCACGCTCCTCGCCCTGCCCTGGGCGTGGGCGATCGGAAACCGTGTGTCGCGCGGGCCGGGGGGGCTGGGCGTGCTCGCGATGACGCCGCTCCTCCTGCCCAGCTATCTCGCGTACGCCGCGTGGTCCCTCCTCCGTGCCCCCGGGTCGTGGCTCGGCGACCGGATCGCGACGGCTCCCGTCGAGGTCCTCGAGTTCGCGAATCTGGCGCAGGCCGTGCTCAGTCTGGCACTGTGGTCGTGGCCGCTCGCGGTCCTCGTGCTCGCCCCGGCCGTCCGTTCGCTCGGTCGCGACGCCCTGGACGCCCTCGCGCTCACGCCCTGTTCGCGCGTTCAGCGTGCATTGCTCATCGCACGCGAGCTGCGCGGCTCGCTCATCGGCGCGGTCGTCCTCGTCGCGATCGTCATGGCGGGCAGCGCCGTTCCGCTCCACGTCGCGCAGGTCGAGACGTACGCCATCGCCTCCTGGCGGGCCATCGCGGAGGGACGCACGTCGAGCGGCCTGCTCGCCCCGGCGCTGCCGACGATCCTGCTCGCCGCGTTCGGCGCGGGGCTTGTTCTTCGGCTGGCTGTTGATCGCGGGGACGCGCCGGCCACCGGCACGCCGCACGCACGGGTTTCCCGTGTCGCCCTGGTGCTCTCGATCCTGGTCTTCGCCGTCGCGGTGGGGGGGCCGCTCGCGCTCTTCGCCGGCGCGATGCCCGGTCGCAACCCGATCGGTCAGTTTCTCTCCGTCGCGGGCGAATCGCTCGCGCGGAGCGCCGCGCTCGGCGGCGCCGTCGGCCTTCTCGGGGTGCTGATCGCGTTCTCGTCCGCGTTCGCTGCGCGGACCCGTGCGACGATCGTTTCCGGAGGTGTATGGCTCCTGCTGGCGCTCGTTCCGGGCGTGATCATCGGGTCGGCCGTCGCCCGAGCCTCGGTGGCTCACGCGACGCTCGACGCGCTGGGGCGCACGAGCGCCGGCCTCACGCTGGCGCACGTCGCCCGGTTCGGCGCGGTCGCGTGGATCGTGGGCGTGCTCCTCGCGAGCCGCGAGCACGCGGACCTGCGCGGCGCAAGGCGCGTCTTCTGGCGCGGCACGCTCGCGTCGTGGGCCGCGAGCTTCGGGCCGGGGCGGCTCGCCGGGTCGCTCGCCGGCGTGCTCCTCGCCGTCGCGCTGCTTAGTGTTCACGAGATCGAGGCCGCCGTCGTCGCCGCGCCCGCGGGCGTGCAGCCCTTCGCCCGGCAGATGCTGAGCTGGCTCCACTATCTCAGGGACGATGCGCTCACGACGGGCGCGTTCCTGCTCGGCGCGTTCGGTCTCGCGTTCGCGCTGCTCGCGGCGCTCCTGCTCCGCCTGGGCCTGCGGCGCACGTCGGGCGTCGCCGCGTGCGTTCTGGCCGTCGCGCTGGTCGGGTGCGACGATTCCGGCGTCGACGAGCGGGGGCGGATCCTCAACGCGAGCGTGATCGGCCATGTCGGGCGGGGCGACGGCTCGTTTGTCTACCCGCGCGCGATCGACGCGCACGATGGCACGATGTGGATCATCGACAAGACCGCCCGCGTCCAGCAGATGACCACCTCGGGCGAGACCGTCCGGAGCTGGACCATGCCCGCGCTGGACCGCGGCAAGCCCTGCGGGCTGACGTGGGGGATCGACAACCATCTGTACGTCGCGGACACCCACGAGCAGCGTGTGAGCGTCTTCGATCTCGCGAGCGACGACCCGCTCTCGACCATGCGCACCTTCGGGGAGTACGGCGAGGGTCCCGGCCAGTTCATCTACCCGACCGACGTGGCCCTGCTCTGGGACGAGAGCGGCGAGGTCGAGCGGATCTACGTCTCCGAGTACGGCGGGAACGACCGGATCAGCGTCTTCGACGCCGAGTTCGGATTCCTCTTCGAGTTCGGCGAGCTGGGCATCCCGCGGGAGGGCGCGGTCACGTTCCGGCGGCCGCAGTCCGTGCTCGTCGATCACGAGCGGCGCGAGCTGATCATCGCGGACGCGGGCAACCACCGCGTCGGCCGCTTCACGCTCGACGGCGAGCCCATCGCGTGGTTTGGCCACGAGGGCGGGCTCGCGAGCAAGGCCCCGGGCGAGTTCTCGTACCCCTACGGCCTCGCGCTCGCGCCGGACGGCTCGGTCCTCGTGAGCGAGTTCGGCAATTCTCGCGTGCAGCGCATCGACCTGGAGACCGGCGCGTGCGTCGGCTCGTACGGCGCCACCGGCTCCGATGCGGGCGAGCTGCTCGCGCCGTGGGCCGTGGCGTGCGACGGGCGGACCGTCATCGTGCTCGATTCCGCGAACAACCGCGTGCAGCGGTTCCCCCTCCCTGCGAGGATGTCCATGCCGTGATCGTCGGGCCGATCCAATTCGACGCGCCGCAGTACCTCGTGCTCGCACCGATCCTCTGGGCGCTCGCGTGGCTCATCGCCCGCAAGAGCCTCAGCGGGCTGGGTCGGGTCACGCGCCACGCCGCGCTCGTCGCCCGCGCGCTGCTGATCTTGCTCGTCGCCGTCGCCCTCGCCGACCCGCAGTGGCGGCGCGAAGCCGAGGACGTCGCCGTTGTCGTCGTCACGGACACGAGCCGCTCGATGCCCGGCGCCGACACGCAGAACCTCGTCGAGTACCTCAAGAGCATCACGTCCAAAGCCGAGCGGACCGACCGCATGGGCGTCGTCACGGCCGCCGAGCAGGCGTACGTCCAGGCCCGCCCCCTCGATCGCAAGGAGCCGCTCCGCGTCGCCGAGGAGATGCGCCCGGGCGACTGGTTCACCGGCGGCTCCAACGGCACGGACCTCCAGTCGGCCGTGGAGACGGGCATCGCCCTGCTCCAGGACGACGCGGCCGGCCGCATCGTGCTCCACTCAGACGGCAACGAGACGGACGGGAGCCTGCTCGCGGCCGCCAGCGCGGCGAAGGCGGCGGGGATCCCGATCGACGTCGTGCCGCTCGCGTACCGCATCGAGCGCGAGGTCGTGTTCGAGCGGCTGATCGCGCCCGCCACGGGCCGGCGCGGGCAGACGATCGACCTCCGCATGGTCCTCGAGGCGACCGAGGCGACGACCGGCCGCCTCACCGTGACGCAGAACGGCCAGGCGATCGATCTGAACGGCGACGACGAGGGCGTCTCGAGCATCGAGTCGCTCGAGATGGGGCGCAACGTCCTGCGCATTCCGGTCACGCTCGCGACGACCGGGCCGCAGGAGTTCGAGGCGATCTACGAGCCGCTCGACCCTGACGGCGATTTCATCCGCGAGAACAACCGCGCGGCGGAGGTCACGTTTGTGAGCGGTGCGGGCCGCATCCTTGCGTACACCGACGATCAGTCCGCCTTCGAGCCGCTGCGCCAGACCCTCGCCGAGTCGGGCAACGACGTCGAGGTCCGTTCCACCGCGAACACGCACGGCTCGATCATCGAGTTGCAGCGCTACGACGCGGTGATCCTCTACGATGTCCCCTCGTACCGCTTCAGCCAGTCGCAGATGGACGAGCTCGCGTCGTACGTCCACGACAGCGGCGGGGGCCTCGTGATGGTCGGCGGGCCCAACTCCTTCGGCGCGGGCGGCTGGATCGACACGCCCGTCGCGGACGTCCTCCCCATCCTGCTCGACCCGCCCGACAAGCGGCAGCTCCCCCGCGGCGCCCTCGCGCTGGTCATGCACTCCTGCGAGATGCCCAACGGCACCTACTGGGGCAAGCAGGTCGCGATCTCCGCGATCAACAACCTGAGCCGCCTCGACCTCGTCGGCGTCGTCGAGTGGAACTGGTCCTCCGGCGCGTACTGGCCCTTCCCGATGGGACTCAAGGGCGACGGCTCGGCCGCGATCAACGCCGTGAACGGCCTCACGTTCGGCGACATGCCCGACTTCGCGCCGACGATGGAGGCGGCGTACCAGTCGCTCGTCGACGCCGACGCGGGGCAGCGCCACGCGATCATCACGTCCGACGGCGACCCCCAGCCCCCCTCGCCCGCGCTGCTCCAGAAGTTCATCGACGCGGAGATCACGATCTCGACGGTCGCGGTCTTCCCGCACGGCGGGGGTTTCGGCGGCAGCGGCACGATGAAGCTCATCGCGGAGGCGACGGGCGGGTCGTACTACTTCATCAACACCAACGCGGCGCTCGCGCAGCTCCCGAGCATCTTCATCAAGGAGGCGCAGGTCGTCCGCCGCTCGATGATCTGGGAGGGCAACGCGGTCACGCCGCAGGTCGTCAACGGCGCGGTCCCCGCGATGCGCGGGCTCGGGGCGACGCTCCCGCCCGTGACGGGCTACGTCGTCACCGCGGAGCGCGAGGGCCTCGCGCAGACGACGAGCAAGGCGCCCAACGGCGACCCCATCGTCGCCCAGTGGCAGCACGGGCTCGGTCGCGCGGTCGCGTTCACGTCCGACGCCACCTCGCGCTGGTCGAGCAACTGGCTCGGCTGGAGCGGGTTCGAGGCCTTCTGGGACCAGCACATCCGCTGGGCGATGCGTCCGACCGGCTCGGCGAACGTGAGCATCGCGACCGAATCGCGGGGCGACCGGACGAACGTCATCGTCACCGCGCTCGACGCGGCCGGCGAGACGCTCAACTTCGCGGACTTCCAGGGCCGGCTTGTCAGCTCGAACAAGGAATCGCGCGAGCTGAGCCTCCGCCAGACCGGCCCGGGGCGCTACGAGGCGAGCTTCGACTCCGCGGACGCGGGCACGTACATGCTCGCCCTGCGGTACGAATCGCGCAATGAAGCGGGCGAGGTGACCGACCGCGGCTTCGTCAACAGCGCCGTGACGCGCCCCTTCGCGGACGAGCACCGCTCGATCGAGGACAACACGCCCCTGCTCGTGCAGGTCGCCGAGCTGACCGGCGGGCGCGTCATCGACCGGACGAACGCCGCGTCGATCGACCTGTTCGACCGCGCGGGGCTCGTGATGCCCGTCTCGCTCCGCCCGGTGTGGCTCCTCTTCGCGGTGATCGCGCTGGGCGTGTTCCTCGTGGACGTCGCGGTGCGGCGCGTGCGGATCGACGTCCCCGCGATGCTCGCCGCCGTGCGCCGGATGGGGACGAGGACGAAAGAGAAATCCCTCGAGCAGGTCGGCTCGCTCAAGGAAGCCCGTGCCAAAACGCAGGCCGGCTTCGCCGAGCGCGGCTCCGGCGCGATGGCCGAGCGCAAGTACGACGCGGCGGACGACTTGCCGGCGAAGTTGGTCGACACCTCGAAGATCGTCGACACCCCGGGCGGGTCGAAGGACGCCCCGATCGTCGACGCGACGAAGAAATCAGCGGAATCCAAAGCTAAACCGGGTGCGGATGGTGACGAGGAGGCCGGGATGTCCCGCCTGCTCAAAGCCAAACGCCGCGCTCAGCAGGAATACAAGAACGAAGAGGACGAGACGTCCTGAAAGGAAGCGACGCCATGGCCGTCAACCCAGATGCGATTGTTCCCGAGGAAGTGCGCGCCCAGTGCGAGAAATTCCAGAAGACGTTCCAGTCCCTCCGCGACGAGATCGGCAAGGTCATCGTCGGCCACAGGGAGATCGTCGACGGCATCCTCATCGGCATTTTCTCGGGCGGTAATGTGCTGCTCGAGGGCGTGCCGGGGCTCGGCAAGACGCTCCTCGTGCGCACGCTCGCGGAAGCGGTGACGCTCGAATTCTCCCGCATCCAGTTCACGCCCGACCTGATGCCCGCGGACATCATCGGGACGAACATCGTGATGGAGGACCCGGACACCGGGCGGCGGAAGTTCGAGTTCCAGCACGGGCCGATCTTCGCGCAGATCGTCCTCGCGGACGAGATCAACCGCGCGACGCCCAAGACGCAGTCCGCGCTCCTCGAGGCCATGCAGGAGCGTTCCGTGACGGTCGGCGGTGAGATCTACAAGCTCGAGAAACCCTTCTTCGTCCTCGCGACGCAGAACCCCATCGAGCAGGAGGGTACGTACCCGCTCCCCGAGGCGCAGCTCGACCGCTTCCTGCTGAAGCTGCAGGTCGGCTACTCCGCGCTCGAAGACCTCATGACGATCCTCGACCGCACGACGGGCACCGCGGCGGCGGACGTCCGCCACGTCATCGACGGCCCGGGCATCATCGCGGCGCAGCAGCTCGTGCGAAACGCGGTCGTCGCGCCGCACGTGAAGGAGTATGCCGCGCGGCTCGTCCTCGCGACGCACCCCGAGGGCAAGTTCGCGCCGGAGATCACGAACCGCTACCTGCGCGTCGGCAGCTCGCCGCGCGGGGCGCAGGCGCTGATCCTGGCGTCCAAAGTCAAGGCGCTGACCGACGGCCGCTACCACGTCTCGTACGCGGACGTGCAGGAGGTCGCGCCGATGTGCCTCCGCCACCGCATCATCATGAACTTCGAGGCCGAGGCGGACCGCGTCTTGCCCGACTCGATCGTTGACGAGATCGTCCGCCAGACCGACCGCGAACCCGTCCTCAACGCGTAAGGAACCCGCGTGCTCAAGACCGAAGGACTCCAACCCGTCAAGGGCCTCGACGACCTGCTCGGGAGCGACCTCATCGCCCGCATCGGGCGGCTGGACATCGCCTCGCGCAAGGTCTTCGCGGGCAAGCTCAAGGGCGAGCGTCGCTCGAAGAAGCGGGGCGAGTCCGTCGAGTTCGCGGACCACCGGCCGTACGTCGTCGGCGACGACCTCCGCCACATCGACTGGAACATCTACGGTCGCCTCGACCGCCTTTTCATGAAGCTCTTCCTCGAAGAGGAGGACCTTTCCCTCTGGCTCGTCGCGGACGCGTCGATGTCCATGGCCACCGGCAACCCGAGCAAGTTCCGATTCGTGCAGCAGGCGTGCGCGGCGCTGGGGTACATCGGGCTCGTGAACTACAACCGCGTCACCCTCGCCGCGATCGCCGAGCGCATCGCGACCGAGGAGGGCGGGCCGCCGCCGTCGGTGGGGGGCGTCGCGAGCACCCTCCGGAACCTGCGCGGGCGTCGTCGCCTGCACGAGATGGGCTCGTGGCTCTGCAACCTCCAGCCGGGGGGCAACACGAACTTCGCCGAGGCGTGCAAGCGCCTCGCGCTGTCGCGCCAGGGTCGCGGCGTGATGGTCCTGTTCTCGGATCTCTTCCTGAAGGAGGGCTACGAGCAGGGCCTGCGCTACCTCATCGGGCGCGGGTACGACGTCATCGTCATCCAGGTGCTGAGCCCGCAGGAGGTGAACCCCGAGATCGGCGGCGACCTGCGACTCAAGGATCTTGAGGACGGCGACACGGCCGAGATCACGATCTCCGGACCGCTGCTCAAACGCTACAAGGCGAACCTCGCGAGCTACATCGACGAGGTCCGCATGTTCTGTGCGCGGCGCGAGATCACGCACATGACGATCCAGTCCGACACGGACATCGAGGCGCTGCTGCTCGACTACCTCCGCGCCCGCGGCGTCGTGAAGGGGGTGGGGCTATGAGCTGGCTCACTCCCGGCCTCGCGGGCCTCGCCGCCGCCGTGGCGGTGCCGAGCCTGCTCATCCTGTACTTCCTCAAGCTCCGCCGGCGAGACCTGGACGTCTCGAGCACGTTCCTGTGGAAGAAATCCATCCAGGACATGCAGGCCAACGCGCCGTTCCAGCGTCTGCGGAAGAACATCCTGCTCCTCCTCCAGCTCATCGCGCTCGCGCTGGGCATCGCGGCCATCGGCCAGCCGACCGTCGAGGGCACGAGCGCGACGGCCGAGCGCATCGTCTTCGTGATCGACCGCAGCGCCTCGATGTCCGCCGTCGACGGGCCCGACGGGACGAGCCGGCTCGACCGCGCCAAGGCGGACGCGTTGGCGTACATCGACTCGATGTCCGACGGCACGATCCTCTCCGAGACCGACGCGCAGGAGGCGATGATCATCGTCTTCGATGCCTCGGCCGAGGTGCTTCTGCCGTACACGTCCAACAAATCGCGTCTGCGTGCCGCGGTGCGCGGGCTCGAGCCGACCGACGCGCCGTCGAACATTTCCCAGGCCATGCGCCTGGCTCGAGCCAACGTCGACATGTTCCGCGAGGGCATCGGCATGATCCCCGGCGCGCCGATCGTCGTCTGGTCCGACGGGCGCGTCGACGGGACGGACGACGTCCAGCTCCACCCGCAGACGCAGGTCGAGTACCGGCGCGTGGGCGAGGCGGACGCCGCGAACGTTTCGATCACGTCCATGCGCGTCGAGCGGGCTTTCGACGATCCCGAGAAGGCGACCGTCTTCGTCGCCATGCAGAACAGCTCGGCGGACGACCGCGAGGTGCTCGTGGAGTTCGGCGTCAACGGCACGGTCCAGGCGGCTCGTGCCCGGACCCTCCCGGGCCTGGCCGAGGACGGCCGGCCCGTCCCCGCGGGCGTCGTCTTCGAGTTCAACCGCTCCCAGCAGGCGATCCTCAGCGCGACCATCGCCGTGGACGACGCCCTCGCGGCCGACAACACCGCCCGCGTTTTCCTCCCCAGCGCCGAGCAACTCAGCATCGCCCTCGTCACGCCCGGCAACCTGTTCCTCTCGACCGCGTTCGAGGGGATGCCCGTCCGGCTGACGACCATGACGCCCGACGAGTACGAGGGCATCCGCGCCGACGCGCGGCTCGACGAGTACGACGTCTTCGTGATGGACGGCTGGATGCCCGTCCTCGAGCGCGCCGACGCCGGCGACGGCCCCTCGCTCCCCCCCGGGCGGTACCTGATCTTCGGGCAGATCCCCACCATGCGCGGGCTGGCCCCGGGCGAGGCGGGCAAGATCGAAGAATCCGCGATCGTCACCGATCACCTCCGCGACCACCCCGCGCTCCGCCTCAGCGCCATCGAGAGCATCGTCATCGGCGCGGCCCAGTCGATCGACGCGTCGAGCGAGGTCACCGTCCTCGCGGAGACGACGCACGGCCCGGGCATCGTGGAGGCCGCGGACGGGCCCGTGAAGGCCATCGTCGTCGCGTTCGACGCGTCGGAGAGCTCCTGGCCCTTCGACCCCGGGTTCATCCTCTTCCTCGCGAATGCGGTGGAGTACCTCGGCTCGGACGGGGGCGATTTCACGCAGGAGGACATCACCCCGGGCGGCACGCTGACCACGCGGCTGCCGGTCGACGCCCGGGACGTGAAAGTCGTGACCCCGGATGGCCAAAGGTTTACTGTGAACCCCTCCTCCGACGGACGCATCAGCTACGGCCCGATCCCCACCGCGGGGCTCTACGAGGTCACGTGGGACGGCCCCCCCGGCCCGCGCGACCCGGTGATCGATGGCCGCCCGCACCGGCCCATCCCGGTCAACCTCTTCGACCCCGAAGAATCCTCCCTCCGCGTGGCGGAGAACCTCGCGCTGGTCACGGGCGTCACGAGCACGAGCAACGCCGACGCCGCGACGGCGGGCGAGGAACGCCTGCCCCTCCGGCACTGGGCGCTGCTCGGGCTGCTCGGGATGCTCATGCTCGAGTGGTACATCTATAACCGCAAGGTGCACCTGTGAGCGTGTGGCGTGCGCTGGCGCTCATCCTGTGCCTCGCTGTGCAGGTCTCGGGCCAGGATCCCAAACGCCTCACGTCGGTCGCCGAGGTGGGGTGGAGCAACCGCGTGGTCTCGGACTCGATGTGCCCGGTGTTCGTCAACATCACGGGCGGGGACGAGTCCGAGAGCGGACTCATCATCGTCGAGAGCGGCTCGGGCAAGCAGATCTGCGCCCGCGTCGTGCTCCCCTTCGCGTCGACACCGGGCAAGACGGCGCGATTCGAGGCCTCGACGCCCATCCCTCCCCCGCCCGAGTATTTTCGCATCTCGGACAACCGCTACGTCGAGGTCACCGTCCGCACCGCGGGCGAGGCCGAGACCATGAGGTTCGTGGCGATGTCCTCGAGCGACGGCGTCCAGCTCACGGACCCGCCGGTGTCGCGTGAGGCGGTCACGATCCTGACGGTCGGTCAGAGCTCGCTCAAGGACTCGCTCTCGTTCTTCGGCATGAGCTTCGGCCCGAACGGCGCCCGCGTAATCAACCAGGGCGCGGGCGAGGAAGAGCTGCCGTACGCCGTCTTCGATGTCCCGTCGCACAAGCTCGCGACGCGGCTCCCGTCGTACGAGGGCATCGACATGATCGCCCTCGCGGACGAGGCGATCGACGCCCTCGATCCCGGCGCCGTCGGCGCCATCCGCGACTGGGTCGCCCGGGGCGGGCGGCTCTTGCTCATGCCCGCTCGCGCCACGACGCCGCTCGACGCCTGGGGCATCGCGGGGGAACTCGAGTGGTACCGCGTCGACGGGGCGGACGAAATCCGCCCCACGGGTTCCGCGAGCCAGTACTGGCACGACGAAACGGTTGAGATCGAATACGAGATCGGCCAGGACGACGAGCGTCGCACGGCGCGGTTCGCGCAGTACGAGCGGCGCATCGGCTACGGGCAGGTCGTGCTTCTCCGCGACGCGCCGCGTTACGACAACATCCCGCCGGAGCTCCGTTCGCGGTTCTGGGTCGAAGCGCTCCAGGCCGCGGACTCGCCGGCCCGACACTGGAGCGGCGGCTCGCACTACGGCTACCTCCCGAGCTGGATCGACCAGAGCCTGAGCTACCAGTCGATGGACCGCGCCACGCGACTGCTCGAGAACACCGAGCCCTTCCCCATCTGGATCTTCGCCGTCATCGTCGCCGCGATGGGCCTGCTCGTCGGCCCGGTCGATCTCCTGGTGCTCAAGCGGCTGCGCAAGAGGCAGTATTCCTGGGCCACAACGCTCCTCTGGGTGAGCATCGCGTGTGCGCTCACCGCGTCGCTGCCCAACATCATCCGTCCGAGCGAGGCGCAGGTCGGCCGCTTCACGGTCCTGGACGCGATCCAGGGCGAGCCAATCGCGATGCGCACCGGCTACACCACCGTTTTCTCCGCCTCTTCCGTGAGGGCGAGCGTGACGGACGACGACCCCGAGGCCCTGTGGCGACCCATCCCCTCGCTCGCCGGTGGTGGCAACGCCGGGTTCATCGGGGCGAGCCCCATCACCATCGCCCAGCCCGTCTCGCCCCTCCCGACGAACGTCCGCCTGCCGACGTGGTCGCTCCGCACGTTCCAGGACGAAGCCACGGCGCCCCTCCCGTACGAGGCCCGCGCCGAACGCGTCGACGGATGGAAATACGAGATCACGATCGACGGCATCGACCCTTCGAGCGCCATCGAGGCGTACGCCGTGATCGAGGGCAGCCGGTTCGTCGCGGAGATCGACCGCGACTCGCCCGACTCCACCCGGACCCTGATCCGCACGACGCGCGACGTGCTCGCGCCGATGAGGGACGTCGACGCCTTCGGCGGGCGGTGGACGCCGACGGTCGTGGTCGACGACGAGCACCTCAACGACCTGCTGCACACGCTCACCGGCGGCGCCCACCGACGCACCGCGCTGCTCGAGCAGGAAACAACCCGGGGCCACGTGCTCGTCGGCATCGTCTTCGACGCGCCGGGAACCGACGCCGGCCTCGACATCCCGGACGCCGTCGAGAGGCAGCGCACGCTCTTGCGACTGCTCGTCCCGATCGAACCCGAGGAGGATCCGACCCCGTGATCTCCATGACCAACTGCACCGTGCGCTACGGCACGCTCACCGCGCTGGACGACCTCTCGCTCGAGATCGGCCCGGGCGAGGCCTTCGGGTTCATCGGCCCCAACGGCGCCGGCAAGTCGACGACGATGAAGATCCTCGCCGGCTTGCTCCGGCCGGACACGGGCCGCGCGACCGTCGACAGTCTCGACGTCGTCACACGCTCGCGCGACGTCCGCCGGCGCGTCGGCTACATGCCGGACTTCCTGGGCGTCTACGACGACCTCACCGTCGACGAGTACCTCCAGTTCTTCGCCAGCGCCTTCAAGATCAAGCGGTCCACCCGCGCGGGCCTCATCACCGAGATCCTCGAGCTCACCGACCTCACCGCCAAGCGCCACGCGATGGTCGACAGCCTCTCTCGCGGCATGCAGCAGCGGCTGGGCATCGCCCGCGTGCTCATCCACGACCCGAAGGTCCTGCTGCTCGACGAGCCCGCCTCCGGCCTCGACCCGCGGGCGCGCATCGAGATGCGATCGCTCCTCGTCGAGCTGCGGCGCATGGGCAAGACGATCATGGTCTCCTCGCACATCCTCTCGGAGTTGCACGAGATGTGCTCGAGCATCGGCATCATCGAGCAGGGCAAGCTCCTCTTCGCGGGCACGCTCGACGAGGCGTTCGCCCGCGCCGGCTCGGCGCAGCGCATCCACCTCAAGCTGGAGACGGACGCCGAGGCCGCCCTGCGCGCGATCGTGACGGACGAGCGCGTGCGCGACGCGAAGATCGTGGAAAGCGAGCTCGTCCTCGAGCTCACGCCCGGGACGCATGCGCACCACTTTGTCTTCGAGCGGCTCACCGCGGCCGGGGCGCGCATCGCCAGCTTCACCCCGCGCGAGGAGAAGCTCGAGGACGTCTTCCTCCGTCTCACCAAGGGGGCCGTCCAGTAGCCATGCGCTCGCTCGCCCTCGCCATCTTCAACGCGACGCCCTTCCACGCCCTGCGGAGCCCGATCGTCTCCCGCGAGATGGCCGTCGCCGGGCGCCGGTGGACGACCTACGCCCTCCGCTCGCTGTTCGTCTTCGGCGTCCTCGCGATCGTGGTGCTCGCGTTCGTTTCCGTTTTCATCGACGGCGCGCACCGCAACACGACCGAACAACTCGACCGAATCACCGCACTCGCCCCGCAGCTCGTCACCGGGATGATCTGGGCGACGTTCGTCTCGCTCATGTTCCTCGCGCCCGTGCTCACCTGCGGCGCGATCTGCGAGGAGAAGCTCGGCCGCACCCTCCCCGCGTTGCTCACCACGCCCCTCACGACGACGCAGATCGTCTTCGGCAAGCTCGCGGCCCGGCTCTTCCAGCTCGCCCTGCTCGTGCTCTGCGGCGTGCCGATCCTGCTCCTGCTCCGCGTCTACGGCGGCTACTCCGTCGGCCTGGTCCTCAAGGGCACGTGCCTCACGCTGAGCGCCGCGTTCCTCGCGTCCTCCGTCGCGCTGATGTATTCGATCTGGCACAAGCGGGCCTGGACGGCGCTCATCTACGCCCTGCTGACGATGATCGTGTACTTCGCCGCGCCGATGGCATACATCGGCGCGTTCATGGGCGGCGTCTTCGGCCAGTCCGCCGCGTTCGCCGAGGCCATGAAATACCTGCCCTACGCGAGCCCGCCGTTCATGCTCGCGGTCGCGACCGCACCCGAGGCCGGCGCCGCGCCGCCGCTCAACCTGCTGAGCGAGCACGGCTGGCTCTGGTGCTCGCTCTTCACGATCGCCGTCGGGTGGGGCGTCGGGCTTTTCTCCTCGCTCGTCCTGCGACGCGTCATGCTCGCCGAGGCCCGCGGGTGGAGCGCCGGCTCGAGCGGCTTTGTCCCCGGCGCGGGCGTCCGGGGGCGCGGCGGACGCAAGGCGAAGCGCTCGGTGCGCCAGCGCACCTCGTCGCGCACCGTCTGCAAACACCTCGAAGCGCCCGTCTTCTGGCGAGACCGCAAGCTGCCCATGGTCAAGAGCCGGACCGGCAAGGCCCTCGTCGCCCTGCTCTTCCTCGCCGTCGGCGGGCTGTTCTATTACTACGGCGAGTACGACGAGATGGACTTCCACATGGTCATCACCTGCCTCGTGCTCGTGATCCTGCTCGCCACCGCGGCCACCGTGACGACCAACACCATCACCGCCGAGCGCGAGGCCCGTTCGCTCGACGTCCTGCTCACCACGCCCATGACCGTCCACTCGATCATGGGCCAGAAGTACCTCGGCAACATGGTCCGCCTGCTGCCCGGGCCGCTCTTCCTCACCGGGCACTACCTTGTCTTCGGCATCCGGGGCGACACCCAGCTCTGGCAGGTCGCCCACGTCCTGGGCGTGACCCTCGGCTACACCTCCCTGCTCGTCGGCTCGGGCCTGCTCGCCGGGACGATCTTCAAGCGGCCCATCACCGCGATGGCGACGAACATGGGCCTCGCGCTCGTCCTCTGGATCGGCCTGCCCATGGCGACCGCGATCGCGAGCGAGCTCTTCAACGCCCACGACAGCTTCCTCCCGGGCACAGTCGCGCTGAGCGTGAACCCCGTCTACCTCATCGCGAGCGGCATCGATTACGCCTTCGACCGCACCGCCGGGAGCGAGGTCCAGTTCGGCATGCGCTGGGATGATATCCAGGCCACCCTCTACCACACCATCGTCATCGTCTCTTCGGTGGCCGCCCTCATCGCCGGCGTGCTCCTGACCCGCCTGGCGGGCTGGTGGCTCCGCATGAGCGTCCGACGCAGCGAATAGCCGCAACGGATCGCCCGGTCCGTGCGTACAGTACGACCGGAGACACACCATGAAACGACCCGCACGCATCACCGCGCTCGTGACGGCCGCGCTGGCCATGGCCATCCTTTTCTCACCGAACGCGAGGGCTCAGAGCGCCCCGTCCCCAAGCGATCGTGCCGCATGGCACGAGAAGCGGACGAGCGAGCTCACCCAGCGATACCGGGACGCTTACGAGGCCGGCGACTACGCCGAGGCCGTTCGAGCCGGGTACGAGCTCGTCCGCCACGACCAGCTCAACGGCCTCGCGGCCTACAACCTCGCCTGCGCCTACGCGCTCGACGGCCGGCTCGACGAGGGCGCGAAATGGCTCCGCAACGCCGGCACGCACGGCTACGACCGGCCCGAGCACGCCCGGTACGACCCGGACCTCGACGCCATCCGCGAGCACCCGGTGTACCGGGAGGCGATGCAGGTCATCCGGACGAACCGGGAGCACGATTTCGAGCAGTTCAAGGCGTGGTGGGAGCGCCGGCCGCTCATCGTCATCGAGCCCGAAACGAAGCCGGACGGCCCGATGCCGCTCATCGTTGCGCTGCACGGCTACGGTTCGAGTGGTGAGGACATGGTTGAGCGGTGGCGAAAAGCCGCGTCGGACGCCGGCGCCGTGCTCGTCGCGCCGGAATCGGGGCGGACGGTCGAGGGGCGGGACGGCTACCAGTGGTCGAAGGAGGACGAGGCGGATTGGGTCGTCCGCCGGAGCGTCGAGCGTGTCCGGGCGCACACGAAGATCGATCCCGAGCGGATCGTCCTCACCGGCTTTTCTCAGGGCGGCTTCGTCGCGATCCGTCACGGTCTGAAATACCCCGAGAGCGTCGCCGGCGTGATCCCGGTCGCCGGGCTCTACGACGAGCGCCGGACACCCTTCAACGAATTCAAGGCGACGACGCCTCTGCCTCGGTTCTTCCTGATGGTGGGGGCGCAGGACGAGATGCTCGAATCGATGCGCTTGGCCGAGGAGGCATTCGAGCAACGCGGCGGCGAGGTCGAGCTTGTGGTGTACGAGGGCGTCGGGCACGGCTTCCCCCCGAACACCGACGAGGAGCTCGCCAGGGCGCTCACTTACATACTCCAGGGCGACGGCACGCCGAGCGAGTAGCGCGGCGCACGAAAAAAGCCCGGGGCGGTGAGGCCCCGAGCCTTTTCATTCTGGCGTGAATCTGAGGTTCAGATTCAGCGACGGCGACGCGTCATCGCCACGCCACCGAGACCGAGGAGCGCCGCGGCGCCGGGGGTCGGGACGAGGGTGACGGAGGAGCCGCTCTGGAAGACGGCGTCCGGATCCGGCGTGAAGTCGTCGAACGACTCGTACACGGAGACCGTGTAGGTGCCGGCGCCACCGGCGACAGCGAGGCTGCCGGCGAAGCTGAAGGTGCCGGTCGAGTCGCCCCAACCGAAGGTGAGGTCGGCGGCGATGTCGCCGCCGCCGGCCGTGGCGAGGAAGCCGCCGGGGCCGGAGACTTCGATCTGGACCTCGGAGCCCCAAGACGGGGAGACCGTCGAGACGACCAGGTCGAACTGGATCTCGGTGACGGCGCCGGAGCTCATGGCGGAGCCGACGGCGGTGAGGGCACCGGTGGTGCCGACGCCCGAGAGGTCGATCATCTGGGCCGACGCGGACGCGGCGAGACCAGCAACAGCAAGAACAGCAAGTTTCATCTCAAATCTTCCTTCCTAAAACAACGCGTTGTACAAAACGCTGCCGTGTGCGCAACGCGGCAACGCCCGGCCGTACACGACCGGGAAAAACAAACAGGCGTCATGAACAGGAAGGCCCCACGACGAATCGGGGGGGACGGGCTCACCCCTGAGTAAGCCCGATGACGTGTCCCTCCTCCATGACAGGATGTAGCGTAACCGCCACACAATCCTGTGCAAGACGAAACGGCACAATCGATAAACATTCTCCGGCAAAACGAAGGAGAATGGAAAGCTGGGTAAAAAGAGCGATTTTCGCGATTTGTCCGGCTGGCGGTTCAGACGCTCAGCAGCATCCGTTCGGGGTGCTCGATGCACTCCTTCACGTGCTTCAGAAACGTCACGGCACCCTCGCCATCCACGATTCGATGGTCGTAGGACAGTGCCAGGTACATCATCGGCCGGATCGCCACCTGGCCAGGGTTGTCCGGGTCCTCGATGGGGCGCTTGATGATGTTGTGCATCCCGAGAATACCCGACTGAGGTGGGTTCAGGATCGGCGTCGACATCATCGAGCCGTAGACGCCGCCGTTGGAGATCGTGAACGTGCCGCCCTGCATCTCCTCGAGCGTGAGCTTCCCGTCACGGGCCTTCGCGGCCAGTTCGAGGATGCCCGATTCCACCCCGGCGAACGAGCGGTCCTGGCAGTCGCGGAGCACGGGCACGACGAGGCCCTTGTCCGTCCCGACGGCCACCGCGATGTCGCAGTAGTCGTGGTACTCGACCGCCGGGCCCTTCTCGGTCTCGGTGATGAACGCGTTGACGTTCGGCACCTTCTGCAGCGCGCTGCACGCCGCTTTCACGAAGAATGACATGAAACCGAGCTTGACGCCGTGCTCCTTGAGGAACTCGTCCTTGAAGCGGGAGCGGAAGGCCATGACGTTGGTCATGTCGCACTCGTTGAAGGTCGTGAGCATAGCCGCGGTCTGCTGCGCCTCGACAAGGCGCGAGGCGATCCGCTGGCGGAGCTGGCTCATGCGCTCGACGCGCACGCCGCGGGACCCGGCCGCGGGCTGGGGCACCGTCGCGGCGCCGTTGGAGCTCGCGGCCGTGGCGGGGGTCGGAGCGGGTGAGCCGCCCTTGATGAACTCGAGCACGTCGTGCTCGCGCACGCGGCCGCCGGGGCCGGTGCCGGAGAGCTTGGAGAGGTCCACGCTGTGCTCGTTCGCGAGTTTTCGCGCGAGGGGGGTCGAACGGACGTCGGGATCGCCGGCGTGCGATTCTTCGTCCGACGCCGCTTGGGGAGGCTCGCTCGATTCCGCTGGCGCGGGCGAGGTGTCCTCGGCCCCGGCGTTGAGCCCCGGGTCGCCGCCGGACGCCACCGCGGCCCCCTCGGGCTTCTTGGCGGACTCGTCGACCGAGGCGATCACGGCGCCGACCTCAACGGTGTCGCCCTCTTCCGCGTTGTGCTTGATCACGCCCGACACCGTTGAGGGCAGGGGCATGGTGACCTTGTCGGTCTCGAGTTCGACGATGTCCTCGTCGACCTCCACATATTCGCCGTCCGCCTTGAGCCAGGAGGCGATGACGGCTTCGGAGATCGATTCGCCAAGCTGCGGGATGGTGATGTCGGTGGCCATGGGTCTCGTGCCTGTGGGTCAACCGCTCTGGGCGAGCGTGGAATGGATCGTTCGGTTCAGGCCGTGGCTTCCTGCGGCTGCAGGGCGCCGACGGCTTCGGTGAGGAATCGGTCGAGCTGCTGGCGGTGGATGGTGGGGGACCCGGTCGCCGGCGTGGGCGAGGTCTGCCGGCCGATGTACGGCAGGTCGCGCCCGAACTCGGTGTAGAACGTGAGGTGCATGTGTCCCCAGGCGCCCATGTTCTGCGGCTCTTCCTGAACCCAGAACACCTCGACGCCCTCGGGGTAGCTCTCGAGGATCTCGCGCATCAGGTCCGTGTGGAACGGGTACATCTGCTCGATGCGCACGATGGCGATGTCGTCCCGCCCGATCTCGTTCCGGCGGGCGTCCAGGTCGTAGTACACCTTGCCCGAGCAGAGCAGGACACGCCGAACCTTGGATTTCGCCTTCTTCGTCTCGAGCGTCGGATCGTCCAGGATCTCGCGGAACGAGCCGGAGGTCAGCTCCTCCACGCGACTCGTGCACGCCGGCAGGCGCAGGAGGCTCTTGGGCGACATCACGATGAGCGGCTTGCGGAATTTTCGCAGCACCTGGCGGCGCAGCATGTGGAACATCTGCGCGGGCGTCGTCGGGTTGCAGACCTGGATGTTCTTCTTCCCGCAGAGCTTGAGGAACCGCTCGAGCCTCGCGCTGGAGTGCTCCGGGCCCTGGCCCTCGTAGCCGTGGGGCAGCAGGCACACGAGGCCCGACCACCGGTGCCACTTGGCCTCGGCGCTGGCGATGAACTGGTCGAACACCACCTGGGCGCCGTTGGAGAAATCGCCGAACTGCGCCTCCCACACGACCAGCATGTTCGGAGACGCGAGCGAGAAGCCGTACTCGAACCCGAGCACCGCGTACTCCGACAGCGGCGAGTCGTAGATGCAGTACTTCGCCTGCCGGATCTTGCCCTCGTCGTTCACTGTCCCGGCGTCCATCTCCGTCCCGGGGATACCCATCTCGCGGATGTGGTTGAGCGGGCAGTAGATCTCCGCGGTGTTGTAATCGCGGATCACCGCGTGGCGGTGACTGAACGTGCCGCGTCGGGAGTCCTGACCCGAGAACCGCGTGATCACGCCCTGGATCAGCAGCGAGCCCACCGCGAGCGTCTCGGCCGTGCCCCAGTCGAGCGGCTTGTCCTCGGGCACGCACGTGGCGCGCTCCTCGAGGAGCTTCGCCAGCTTGGGGTGCGGCTTGAAGTCCGAGGGCCACGTCCCCATCGCGCGGGAGATCTCGAGCAGGTCGTCGAGGTGCACCGCGGTGTTCACGCGGTCGAAGCTGAACGCGTTGTCCACGCCGATCCACTTGTTCGCGCCGGGGTCCGGCGTCGGGTCGACCGGTGTCTCCTTCACGGACTTGAACGCCCGGTCCAGATTCTCGTCCAGGCTCTTGCGGATCTCCTCTACGTCCGCCTCGGAGATCACCTTCTCCGCCAGCAAACGCTCGGCGTACGTCTTGAGGACCGACGGCTTGTTCTTGATCTCTTTGTACAGCAGCGGCTGCGTGAACATCGCCTC